AACAGCCTCAGGAACGGGGCCATTGTTCTCACACACAACCAGCTTCTGTGCAAGCCTCGGGACTGACGCGAGTTCTCCCTGAACAACTTACCTGTTGGATGCAGGAACTGACGGAGCCTGCTGACGCCCTCGTGAGAGTCCAGCCTGCGACCCACGGAAGGTGACTCTTGCTCTAGAGTGCCTGAGGGAGAAGCGTGGGGTGGGGGGTGTCCTGCTGTCCCCCAGCGGCTCCCAGGAGGCTGGACCTTCCCTGTCAGGCACCCCTGTGTAGATACACCTTCGTTCTGCTCCCGTCTGGGCCTCACCACTACCACTTTCACACTCAGAGTGTCTCCGACCAACGGCCCTTTATGCCACAGGCGGTATAACTTGTTCACTGATTAGCACTGAGCAATTATCAGGCCACAGCTGAGCATTGTTAGTTCACAGGCTTATGCAGCTATCCCACCCTCTTAAGGCTATTTGCACATCCACAGGAAATTCCTGGAGGCATCAGGCTTTCTCAAGTTTTAGTAATTTGCCAGGCATTGCACTGGATGATTTTACGTATTTTATCTCATTTAAATCTCACAGCAATTCTGTAATAATTATTAATTCCCATTTTGTAGATGGGGTTGCCGAAGCTCAGAGAGCTTAAGAAACTTGCCAAAGGTCACCCAGGTAATAATGGGAGCTGGGATTCAAGGCCATTCTGACTGGGTCCAGGACTCCACTGGGGGTAGGGAGAGAGTACTGTCTGCGGCCTGCTTCAATAACTGCAGAGATGTCTACCTGTCTTCTCCTCTTTCCGATAAGCAAGTTCTGTTTGTTTACCTTCTCCTACAAAAGGGCAGCACCAACTCCCATTTACCACAATGCCTTTCATAATATTCTAGCATTTTCTGTCGAGGTGTGGTAAGAGAGCAAGAGCTCACAGTCTTGTGGGGCACTGAAGAAGGTTCTAATCCCCAAGAAGGAAAAGTGAAGAGGACTCCGGATCCTGAGCACTGTGAATGAGAGGGGTTTGAAAAGACCCAAGAGGCATCTCTGCCATCGGTCTCAGCCGCTTCATCATGTGGGGGCCTGCGGTGCAAGGGGACCAACGACCACCAGGTGGCAGCAGAGAAGAACAAGTCAGTGGCCGGCCGGGTGCTAAACTCCAATCCCGAGTCTGGGGCACGGAAAGTGCAGAGTCACGCCCACACGCAAGGCAGGTCTGAACTGGGCCAAAGGGGTAGTGGGTACGGCAACCTTGTAGTAACAGCTCACACCATCGTTAAACTCATTCTGTGCCAAGCAGGTGGTAAGCCTTATCTCCTTTAACTTTTACAACCAATCTACGGAGCAGGTACTATTAATAACTCTCTTTTTATAGATGCATGCTATGACGGTTCTAAGAGGTTTATGATTTATCCAAGGTCACACAGACCGAAGAGAGGAAGTGCAGGCAGTTTGGACTTTAGAGCCCCAACTGTGAGCCTATTGGCGGTGGTGGTGGGTAGATGTTACACCAGGGAAGAATGTTATGTCAGGGAATAAGAGAAACCACTAGGGGGATGGGGGTAGGGGGAGGGCAGGTGGAGCCTGGGCTGGGCTGGACTGGCTCTGGGGCAGAGCCTGGGGCCTCGGCCAGTCCAGGGACAGTGAGGCAAAGGGAAAACTGCTGGGGGCACTTTCAGGAAACGGGATGTGTAGGATTTTGAGGCTGAGGGTCCCTGGTGACTTATTTAAAGAAGCCACCCCAGCTCTTCCTGGGTGCTTCACCCTAACAGGACTGGGTACCCCAGAGGCTGCAAAACCACTCAAAGACCTAAAGAGATGCCCCTGTAAGATCTGATCCGGGGCTCCCTTGCTGAGCTCCAAAAAGCAAAGTAGCTGGAGGGGAAGTGCCAAGACAGGTCACAGTATCCCCAGTGCGCTGGGCCTGGCCCCAGAGCCTCTTCTTGGGGAGTGGACAATGCCAGCTGCCTTGCAGCTTCCACCCTGGAACGGTGCCCGGGCACACTCAGGGCCCCCGGATTAGCTCACATCACTGAGGGACTTGAGCGAGACCCAGGAACTTCACTTTGCCTGGAGATCCAGGTCAGTACCTTCTTCCTCTCTGGTCTGGCTGCTCATCATCCAGGGGGCCACGTTAGTGGCACATTTCAGTCTCTAGGCTCAGAACTGCATCCTTTAGTTAACATGTCTTGTAGGATTCTAGAACAGAAAAATGACATAGGTAAAAAAACTAAGGGTATCTGAGTAAGATCTGGCTTTAGTTACTGGTTCATTATTGTAACTAATTTAAGATATTAATAATAGGGGAACTGGGTGTGGGTTATCTATTATCTTCATATTTTTCTGTAAATCTAAGGCTGTTCTAAAAAATAAAGTATACATTAAAAATTTTTTAAAAAAGTAAATAAAAGAACTGAGTCTTTCTTTCTAGACTAGCACCCACCACTAGGCCTTCCTAGGAGTTATTGGGCATAAACCTGAGCCTCAGGTTAAAGTTGCTCTCCTCAAATCCCTTGACACCAAAGGCTTGTATCCTTCTTTGCCATTCCATTCTCCAAGAGATCTTCCCAACCCAGGGATTGAACTCAGGTCCCCTGCATTGCAGGCAAATTCTTTCCCATCTGAACTACCAAGAAAGCCGTAAAGGGCAACTTTAGCGGTCATTTAATCTAAGTCCTTGGCTGATGAGAACTCTCACATTCCTTAATTCTGGTGGGTGTTTTGTTTAGTTTTTGCTAGTTTACAATGGTTACAGAGAGCTGGTGAGCAATGATAATTCTGTCCCACTGAAATGCTTCTGGGCTATACACATTTGACTCTCAGAGCAGGCTATGTATATTGAATTAGCCCTGATTTCAATTAAATTCTAGGTAGGTCATATCCACCTTCAAAGAGGAAATTTTCTCTGCTCCTTGCCAGTGCAAGAAACCCATTCTTCCCAGGGGACAGTCATCTCGGGGGGTGTCACAAAAAACCTGGGAGCTTAGCTCAGGAAGTTTCAGGGATCCTTTAATTCCTCCTCTTGATCAGGAGGTCGTGCTCCTAGATGACCTTCAGGCCTGAGACTAAAGGGTCACCCACACTTTGAGGTGAAGATGAGGGAGGNATCCACCTTCAAAGAGGAAATTTTCTCTGCTCCTTGCCAGTGCAAGAAACCCATTCTTCCTAGGGGACAGTCATCTCGGGGGGTGTCACAAAAAACCTGGGAGCTTAGCTCAGGAAGTTTCAGGGATCCTCTAATTCCTCCTCTTGATCAGGAGGTCGTGCTCCTAGATGACCTTCAGGCCTGAGACTAAAGGGTCACCCACACTTTGAGGTGAAGATGAGGGAGGGTAGAGGGTGCCCCGTTATGACTGAATTTCAAGTAAATGGCAAATAATTTTTTGCACTAAAAATATTTCATGGGACACTGTTATACTAAAATCTATTCACTGCTTATCTGAAATTCAAATGTAACTGGAAAGCCTATATTTTATCTGGCAATCCTACAGAGGGATCAGCATTAAAACTAATGACTTCCCTAAGATGAAACTCTGGGATTAAGGGGAAAAAGAGGCCACAGTGAGCCATGACTTTTTGAGGAGAGGAATGAAGTTGGTTTCTTTCATGCTAATTAAGCAATCACAAACGACCCCATCAGAAATCCAAACTCGTGATTAACATGGGACTCAAGACCAGGGGAAAAAAAAAAATCAAAAAGGTTAAGAGCCAGAGAAGCAAATCTTCACACAAACGGCAGCCAGCAGACGGAGTTGGTCCCAGGCAGGCAGGTAAGAGCAAAGCCTTTTCACCCACTCTTTCAGAACAGAACAGGGTTTGGGAGATTCCAGTGGACTCCTGCAGCCTCCCTGATACCTGGAAGTCGGCAGAATTCTCCTCAATATTCAGAATTCTCCGACTTGTGAGGGTTCACAAAATCTCTTCCTAGGTCCTACCTCTAGACTGTCCATAAGCAAAGCAGAGAAGCAGGAAAGGCAGTTATTCAGGCTGTAACTGGCTCACGAACAGCTGTGTCTAGCCCCTTGAAGAGCCACTTTTCTTGGCTCAGGTGGGATGACGTACATTTGCTGTCCCCAAACTGTTTGCCAAGGCTCGAAACTGGAGGTATAGATTTACAGAAAACAACTTAATGCAGAATTCGTTTTGTGTCTGCCATTTTGAGCAGAGTTCATCCCCACATTATTCACCTGAGATGATCAGTAAGGTCAAGTGTGACTTCTTTACAACTGGGAAGCGCAAATTACACATGAAATGCCCCAAGGAAAGGGCTCATGGGGTGAACGCTCCACTCCCCTGTCTCACTTCTCTTCAGCTGTTTTAAATGGGCTCATTAATATAACTCTCTGGGGATCAGACCTATGCAGTTCACGAGAATAAAAGGAATGAAAAACACACAATAGCAAGGAGAGAAGAGAAATCATTGTTGGTTTTTAATAAGCACACTCTAATGATGACCACCGAAGTTCATGGGGTTTTTGTTTGTTTGTTTGTTTGTATCATAGTTTAAAATTTCATATTTTGGGGACAGTTTCCTTTGTTGGAAAATGGGCTTGAAGGAATCTGTGCTAAGGCACATGTACATTATATCATCATAGCCTTTTATTTGTCCAAGGATTGATATAAAATAATACCTCTGGAGAGAAATAACTCCTCTTATTAATCTGTCTTGAGCCAGGGGAAGTAAGCAATGAATAAAAATGCTTTTTGTTTGTTTCTCTACAAGTTTATGGTATAGGTTAAATTAAAGGTCAAATCACAACTCAGTTTGAAAGTTTTTTTTCCTTTTGTTTGTGGTTTCTTCTTTGAACTTAAATTCCAGTTGGTAAAAAGGGGTTAAAAACCTGAGCAATTTCCACTTTATATCTGCAAAAGAAACAAGTACAAGTCCTCTCACAGAGAGAAAACAGAGGGTTTGGATGTCATTTTTTGTCACCTAGCGAGAATGTCTTTGTGGGTGTTTTTGAGATGGTGAACACTCTGGATGCATGAAATGACACCTGTGTGTCTCTGCTGCTAGGCGTCCCGTGGCCTGAGCCTACAAGATGCCAAGAGAAGAGGCTCACTTCTTCTATGGTTCCCCCCGGAAAGGGCACAGCCACTCTTATGTCACGGCTGAAGAGTAAGTTCGAAACCAGACCCAGCGGGGATACAGTTTGCCGTTTGCTGACACAGCCTCTGGCTTCCACCAGCACATGTCTGTCCGTAAATCTCTCTAGTGTTTATTTCTCCAGAAATAAACCTGGCAGTGAGGTAAGGAGACCCTGAGGTCCTACAAAAGGTCTCAGGTTTCTCTGAGGCCAAAGAGGCAAAGAAGGAGGGAAGGTAAAAACCTGGATCTTGCCATTTTTGTTTGCATTCTTGGCTATGAGGCCTTTACCGTGGGTCCCCAGGCTGAAAAACACCTGTCTGAGAGCATGATGCCTCTGTCCTCAAGCCTTGCCTGTCTACTCCACTCAGACTCCCAGAGGTGGTTTGCAGATAGAACAGAGGCAAGTTGCTAAAGGACAGTGAGGTTGAAGGGCAGGTGTGTCCCTCCACCTGCTAACTGAGTCCAAGGTGAAGAGGCTGGTCATAATCTTTGCATCAGTGCTTTACCCTAAGAAAGGTGTTTTGTATTATGAATTATTTTAAAATAAGTCTTTGCATGATTAAACATTTCTAAGTGCTAAGCAGTGTACACGAGCTCAAGATGCTATTCTCTGCTTTGTAGAAAATCTTACAACCTACTGGGAGAGTTAGGCATGGGAGTAATTTCATCAGGTATAAGTGCTGTGATGGGAACACAGGCCACAGGACATACTCTGCAAGGACGAGAGTGGGCAAGGGGTGGTGGCGGTGGGAGGGGCCCCTAGGGGCCCCTCCCCGGGTGGAGACTCCAACAGGACAAATGAGCGATCTGGGTTTTGTTTGGACTGTCTCTTAAGTGATCTGCTCAGAACTTCCCGCAAACCTGCTGTCTTGGGAGAGAACTGTTGAATTGCTTTACTGGAGTGAACTTGCAGGGGCAAGAGAGATGGAGAACCTGTCAAAGGCACTGAGGAGGAATTCAGGCTGGAGCATTTCTTCAGAAGACCCTAGTGGGATTCTCTAATACCCCTGCATGGTGAAATGGGATGTGGTGGTGAGATCTTCTGAAAAAATGTCCCAAGAGCAAAAATATACTTTTGAGGGGTGCAACTGCACATGGTATTAGGTAGTATATTTTTCAGGATTTGCATGATGACTCAACAGACTCTATCTCTGTGAAACCACAGTTGAGAAATTCTCAGTTGAGGCGGCATAAGCCACCTATGGAGCTTGTGAAAAGGCAGCTTCCTAGGCACTGCTGCCCAAGAGGCTGACTCAGTAGGTCGTGGGGTCAGGGGCCCAGGATCTATTTAACATGCATCTCAGGCAACTCCCTTGCAGGAGGTATTTGGGTGACATCTGAGAAGCCCTGCCCGGCTGGGCAATGGGTTCTTAATGGTGTGTCTGGCACATCCCAGCATTTTTGGCTCTCACTTCCTGTGTGTGAGCGCAATGTGACTGTGGTGTGGGGAATTCAAACAGAGCTCTGTGTGTGTCAAGATGCCTGAGGGGGTGACCACAGCCTTAGGAGGTAGAATGAGAGCACAGGCATGCTGGGAATGGAATCATCTGCCTTCAGTCATGAGAACCCACTGAATGCCCTCGTAACAGCTTCATTTCAGGAAGGGGTGATGCGGTCAGAAAGGCACTGGCTGGGTACCTCTGGCCAGTTGCTGTGAATGCTGGTTCTGCCACTCTCTGGTTGTGCAACCTTGGGCATTTTACCAGCCTAAAGTCTTGGGGATGTCAGATGTGAAATGAATGTCATACCTACTCCTGAGGATTGTTGTGACAGAGCCAATAGCAGGGTGCTCACCATAGTGCTTGGCAGGGTTGTTGTGAGAATTAAATAATCTAACGAATACAGAATGGTTATCATGGTACCCAGCTTCCAGCAGACATTAAGTCAAAGTTAATTTCTGTTTCTTTTTTGTGGACTGACAGTTGGGGAAAATGTTTTAAACTAGTCCTGATGGAAAGATAACTCAGTCCACAGAAGGGTCAGCTGCCACTGCACCTGTTGCTCTTGGAGCCTGGGTGCTGGGGCCCATGACAGCACTGCTGCTGTGGACACACACCTGAGAGGCTCCTAGAGATGGTTCTGTCTCTGTATATGCATGATGGAGGCCCATGGGTGCCCGGGGTGGGGTGGGGTGGAATACTCCTTGGGGACTGGGAGGTGCTTCTCTGATCGCAAAGCCCCTGTGAAGAGAGAAGATTGACACATGTTTCATCATAATCTGGAGCAAGGTTCCCACACCAATGTGGACATGTCTGTCTCTCGGGCCAGGGCTGCAGGGATTGGCATCCTGACAGTGATTCTGGGAATTCTACTACTTCTCAGCTGCTGGTACTGCAGAAGACGAAGTGGATACCGAAGCTTGAAGGTCAGTAAAGTTCCCACTGCTGAGTCCCTCCAGTTCCAGGCCCTCCCTTCTCCTTTCTCTGAAGTTCCGGGGAGTGGGGTGACAGTCTCATGATCACCTCCAGCACTGATTCATGGTTCTGATGCATCTTTCTCTACACTGTACATCTTATAAGTCTTCCTTTGCTTCTGCCCGGGTGTGAATCCCAACCAGGAACCTGGCCCATCTTTCTGATTCCACTCACAGCAAACTTGAGGGCCTGCATATGTAGCTGATGGTTTTGGGGGTAAGGGGGAAGGCTTCATGGTCCTCTTGCATAGTGAACAGAAGTACATAAGACACTCCAGGTCTTACCAATCCTTCTGGGGATTCCCACTGGTTCTGTTACTCCACTTAGTGGCCCATTCTTCCTACCCTACCTCTTCACTCCTTTCTTTCCAGGTTTCCTGGGAATTCCAAGTTCTTCTAACTCTATTAGCAAGCAGTCCAGCATAGCCAGGACCCCTGTAGCCATCAGTGCAGTGAGGAAACTGTCCACCCCTCAGCAGCACAAAGGACCGCCAGATTTTTAACAGGTTCCTCCTTCCTTTGATGCTCAATGTGGTTTGATTAGGATTTTTGCTCCTTTACCCATACGAGCAGTAAGTAAACAAAAAGCAGGATCCTTCAAAAATGAGCAGCATCAACAGAGTCACTAACCTGTGAAGACTACAGGTTTCAGAAACCTCGCTTCAAAGACAGGTAGCAGTTTGGAACTTAAGCATCCAAAGGCATTCTCCACAGTGAGCAACAGGATAGAAGGAGAGTTGCCATTTTTCTCTCTCCTTTCTCTTTGTTATTACAGAGCTGAAAGCTTCTGAGGTTGATATATAATGGGAAAAAATTTATCTTTACAAAAGATGTTGGCAAGTCCCCTTCCTCATTTAGCAACACTTCATTCAGAGAAAGTGGTTCTGTGATGGAGAGGAGGGCTGGTCTGGGTGGAGGGCTAGATTCTGGCAGTCTGAGAAGAAGAGGAAGGTGAAAATGGTAGCTTCAAATTCTTCTCCTTGCTGGAAAGCTTGGGAAGTCCCATGTGACCCTTTTCCTAACGCCCACCTTGCCATGGTGTCCCAGATAGAAATCAGGAAAGTCAGGGTGAAGGTGGGAGACGCAGTCACCAAGCAGCAGCCCCATTTATGGGAAGGAGAAGTTCTGGAGTCTGAATAGGACTGCGACCACAGCCAAGCCTCGGGTTGAGAGGTTAGGGAATATAACTCTTTGCTCTCTGCTATACACTTCATGTGTACCTCTAGAACAAGGTGATGACATTGCCTTGTAATTTGTTATTTACTTTTTGCTTCTTCTACCCCTTTTCTTCATCCTATTTGGAGCTGATGCAGAAAGTAGTTTTTATTCCCCTTTTACTTCCAGAGCCTAGCATGATGCCTGGCATACAGCAGTCACCCAATTGTATGACATAAGGATTTGGTCTCACTCTGCTGTTGACTTACTGGTGGCCTTAGATTTTCATTTCTCTGAGCCTCATTTGCTCTATTATACACCTAGACACAGATGACATAACATGATGCGTATCACTTTTTATGTAATATATGCTTTCTTCTATAATTAAAAAAATTTATTCTATGTTTACGTATAAAAAAAACAATGATTAGTCTTTCAAGGAATAAAAGCTCTACAAACTCAATATATTGGTATCCATTCCTTAACTGTCCATAATTGCTAGCTTGATGCTACCCAGACAAAAAAGCAACTTTTCCCCCCATTCTGCTTCAACACTCTCTTATCTTAAATGCATTCAATGGAAGAAAGACAGTCTGAGTCATGGAGTTAGACACTGAGCATTTTGCCTTTCTGTTCAACCTGCATCCTCCAGTCCTCCAGCTCTAGCGACTTGTGGAGTTTATGGAATTTTTATGAGATTTAAAAACTGTGTTTAAATTCCCTGGTTCCTTCTAATGTTTAAAAATGGAGTCATTTATTTTTAAAATTTATATTAAAATCTTGTTTTGAGACTTTCATATCTCCTGAAAAGCCAGGTTGGGGACCAGCAGTCTAAGAAATGTAGGTAAAATTATGTAAAGTAGTGCATTAAGTATTGTATTTAATTACATAATTACCTGTCTCTCTTTGGTGATTCTGTTTTCATCATAAAACAGAAGAACACAAATGATGATTAATGCAAGCTTCAGGTACCACTTTTATCAACCTTTATTAAGCTTTGAAATATGTTTATTTTTCCACTTTCATTGCTCACAGAATGGTAGAAAGGTTGGTTGGAAGTAAGGTCTCCTAAAATTTCTTCCTTGCCCAATAATTCCTCTTAGACCCGAAAAACACCTTTTGAAAGGAAAGACTGCTTTTTGCAGAAATGCGTTCCTGCAGAAAAATGATTTATAAGGCATTGGAAGTTGGCTTTCATATTTATGAATTTTATTCTTTCACGTCTAAGTTTAGGACATAACACTTCTGATTCTTGGGGAAAAATTCAAAAGCTCTCCTGACAGCTCACTTTACACTCATGTCTTTCAGGGTCATGTTTCTCAATGTACAGTCAGGGGCCCCTGCACTCAAATAACCTGGAGTTCTGGCTAAAATGTAGTCTGGGACCATCTCTGGTGGTGGGACCCAGGACCCTGTTTGAACACACACACTGAAGTTTGATGCAAATACACAGAATTGGCAGTGAACTGGAGAAGTGAATCATGCTCCTAACCTATGGTAGGTGAGGATCAAAAAAATAAGGAACAAAACCAATAATCGAGGTAAAGGGAAAGAACGCATTCACATTAACATACCTAATGCTGTGCTGTGCTGTGCTTCGTTGCTCAATCATGTCTGAGTCTTTGCAACCTCAAAGATTGTAGCCCGCCAGGCTCTTCTGTTCATGGGGATTCTCCAGGCAAGAATACTGGAGTGGGTTTCCATGCCCTCCTCCAGGGGATCTTCCCAACCCAGATATGGAACCCAGGTCTCCTGCATTGCAGGCAGATTCTTTACTCTCTGAGCCACCAGGGAAGTCCAAGAATACTGGAGTGGTTAGTCTATCCCTTCCCCAAGGGAACTTTCTGACCCCGGGATCGATCCAGGGTCTCCTGCATAGCAGGCAGATTCTTTACCAGCTGAGCTAAGCAGGAAGCCCATTAAGCACCTTACTGGAGGTATATCACTAGGAGCTGTGGAGGGCAGCAGAACCTCCTTGGATCCTCTCGTCAAGATTGGGGTCCTTGTGCTTATATCCTTCCAAAAGGTAGTGTCAATAATAATTTCAGAGTAGAGTTTAGGAAAACTTCTTTACAGCCAGCAGACCCTATAGGTACCAGTCCCAGCCATGTCTGGTCTCATCCAATTGATGATCCAAACACTTCTCCTCCCTGGGAGACCCGTCCGGATGCCCATCTCTTTCAACCCAGTAACACCAATAATCAACCACAGTCTACAGACAAGACTGCGGAGGAGGCACTGAACATTGGCACAGCCGTCCTGTTCCAGTTCCCCTCAGCCAGGACTTCAGAGAGCTGCTCATGCCCTACTGGTGGATTTGGTTCACAGATAATGTTTGGGTCTGTAACTTAAAAAACTGAATTAGGTGCAAACATTTAAAAGTAACATTTTATGTAAAAATCTTAATTTCTAGTTTATTTTTTGAAAAAAATCAAAAGATCTGGCAAAACTTGGCAGCTATGCAGTGGTTTGTCCCTTTGGAAGCGACACATACTCCCTCCTTTTCTATGACCCCCATCTGACTTCCTCCTTCCTCTAAGGGTCAGATCGTAGCGGGGTCATGCCAGGCACAGGCAATAAGGAAGTGCATTGCCTGGAGAGCCCTGGACCAGCAGTATTAGTATCACTTGGGAACTTGCCAGAAGTGCAAATTTATAGGGCTTCACCCTATACCTACTATGTCAGAAATTCTGGGTGCAAGCCCAGCAATCTGTGTTTAACAAGCCCCCCAGGTGACACTGCTGCATTCTGAAGTTTGAGAATGACTGCTGTGGAGAATTTAATGGTAAGAGCAACTAAAAGTCTGCTTTTTATGATCACAATGTGCCAGCAATTTAAAACAATGCCAGTAATGAAATATTCCACTTCACCTGGGCAGAGTGCATCTGCAGTCTCTGTTTTGGTATGTGTATCTGTCTTGCACAAACTGTTGTCATTCTATTCTAGGGATGGAGAGCATCCCCCCCTCAACCTATGCAAATGACCAAACTATAAGCTTTTACCCACCCCTTCCCCCAATAATTCAAAGTGCACAACAGCCTTGGGCTGACTTGTCATTGTTGTGATGTGACTTGGAAGCTCAGCACTACAACCACAGTATTTCTACCACAACACAAGCACTCACAGTGTTTAAGATATATTGCTGTCTTTATGGGGAAGGCAGAAATAGACAGAGTGCCCCTGCTATCAAGCTGTTCCTATGTTTCTCCTCACTGTGAAACCACCTCCTGCCTCCATAGCTCTGATCTACTCCTCTTGTAATCATTCTCTGAGATCCAGTTTTATATTTCACTCCTCTCCTTCCTTTCAAAAATATTCATTGACTAATAGGTGTCAGGCACTGTATTAGGTGTTTTGTTGTGCTCAGTCATGTCCGACTCTTTGTGACCCCATAGATTGTAGCCTGCCAGGCTCCTCTGTCCATGGGATTTTTCCAAGGAAGAATATTGGAGTGGGTTGCCATTTCCTCCTCCAAGGGATCTTCCTGACTCCACATCTCCTGCATTGGCAGGTGGGTCCTTTACCACTGAGCCACTGGGGAAGCCTAGTTTTGAGAGGTAGGTGACATCATCTTCATATTACTGATGAAAACACTGGAATTCGAGAGACTAAGTGACTACCTGAGGATACACTGAGGATAAGTGGCAGGGCCAAGATTAAAATTCATTCTTAAGATGTCAACTTCCTTATCTTTTTCTTTAATGGACTCAATTATTTTTTCTCACCCACTGACCTTCATGAATTCACATTTCAGGACAAAAACATTCATGCTGGTACTCAAAGTACCCTGACAGGAGGATGTTCACATGAGGGGCTTGGTCAACAGGACAGCAAATTGCCTTTTCAAGAGAACAAGGGTAAACCTGTGGTAGGTTGAGATCCTGCATCCTGGTATTTCTGTATATGCTTACTTTTAACTCAAATGAATAAAATATTGCCATTTAAAAAGCAAGGGCAATGTGAAAATGCTACTGACTAAAAAATGGTTAAAATGTTAAATTTTATATGGTATATTTTACCATAATAAAAAGTAAACAGTAAGATTAAAACCAAGGGAATTCACAGAGGTTTTCTTAAATTGTGTCCCCTCATATCCAGAGTTTCCTGAGTCAATAATGAAACATCTACATGCAAGGCCCAAAGGAAGAACTCGGTTCTGGATACAATGTCCTTTTGTCTCATGTTTTTTAGTATAATTGCTTTTGTCCTGAACATAGACATATCTAACAGAGGAAAAAAGTGCCTATTATTAATTGTATAGAGTTGCACTGTCCAATAGTTGCACTGTAGCCCCTAGTTACATGTGGTTATTGAAAACCTGAAATGCAGTACTTTGAATTAAGACATCTTGGAATACATACTAGATTTCAACAACTTATTATGAGGAAAATAACATAAAAATCCACTAATGAGTTTTATACTGACTACAGGTTGAAGTGATAATATCTTACTTCAACATGAAAGTGGGGTTAAATAAAATATATTAGTGAAATTAATTTTACTTGTTTCTCTTAATTTTTAAAAATGCAGCTACTAGGAATTTTAGAACCACATATGTGGTACATTCTATTTCTACTGGACAGTCCTGGTATAGATGCAGTAATTATAGCTTTTGAGAGCACTGGCTCCAGAGCCAAATTACTATATTTGACTCTCAGCTCCATGACTGGCCAGCTGTAAGACATTCATCAAGTGATTTAACTTCCTTGTGCCCCAGTTTCCTGACCTGTAACATAAAAACAATGGAAATATTCCTAAGGTTGTTGTGAGCATTAAATGAGGGCCTGATAGATTTGTGCTCTGTTGATAGATGCAACGGCCTTTAGACACAGCTATCAGGATTTATGCTTGTGGTAAAGATGCAGTGTGATCAGTGTTTGTAACAGGACTGAAAAATTTGTAAATTAGGGCTTGGGACTTCTACTGATAAAGATAATCCAAGGAGATTTTGGGGAAGTCACTTAGCCTTTTTTCTCTGCTGTTATCCCTCCACCACTGCCCAAATGCTTCAACATACACACTTGTGTAATTTAACATTAATTACCTCATTGGGTGGAAATTAGATATGAAACAAGTTTCAACCCAGAGCAAAAGTATAAACGTGATGCAGTATTTTGACTTAATCCCTCTTTCAGAATCATGTGTGTTGTTGTCAAGCCCATGCTCTCCTTTCTCATCCTCACAGATTCCCAATGCTCCACCTGCTTATGAGAAACTGTCCGCAGAACAGTCACCACCACCTTATTCTCCATGAGAGCCAGTGAGGCCTTGAGATGTGCTGAAATGATTTCCCTTATGCTTTTGCTTGAATTTGATGTGGGCATGCAATGTTCTGCTTCAGAATGCTGTAGAAACAGTGTACATTATCTCTAATAATAAGCTGAGTGTCAAATTCTTTGTAAGGCAACTAGCAATACTGATTGAGGAAATGATGAGAAATACTAAAATGGGAAAAGCTTTGTCAATAAACATTGTAATGGATGATACTATCCGTGCCAGTAATAATAAATCTACAATGTTGTTTTCTGAGGGAGAGCATTCAAGTGTGTGTTCTGGGACCACTGGATTTCTTTTTAAGTTAAAATGTGGCTAAAAACTAACTACTATTCTGATTTTTGAAGAAGCAGCCTCTTGACCAACATGAACTCTAACAGAACAGTTGCAGGTTAGTCTGTGTTATGGAGTACTCAAAATGATACCTTTACAGGTTTAAGATCAAGAGCTGAATGACCTAACAAATTACAGCCAGATTCATCTGATCAGGAATCAGTCATATCTCTTTGTGTTCTGCAATTCCATGGTGTAATAACACATTGCAGAGATCCTGTATCTTTAGTAATACAGTTCATGCAGTTTTAATTACATTTCACTTCAATGCTCAATGCTATGATAATTAATGACAAGGATTTCCTGTTAAATCAAAAGGTGGTGTAAGGACTTAAACAAGTAAAAGCTATTCTAGTTTGACACCTTGCCTTCAATGTCCCAAAGGCAAATTTAGCTCCTTTGGGCTCCCAAATTCCTCTCAAAAGAACATACAGAAGAAATCATAAAGGATCAGCAATTCTGGAATGGTGTCTTTATTTGTATAGCAACACTGCAATTTATGTGACATCTACATATTATTGTCTGTCTAATGTTTTTCTTCTGATCAGCTCATTTCAAGTTTTTTTTTGGTTTAACTTACATCACCAGTCTAAATGAAAAATCAGTATCACTTTTTAAAGTAGGGAATAAAGATAAAAAGAAGATAATGAAAGCAAATTACATTGGAACCTAGAAAGATACTGATGATCACAGCAGGCCATCAACTTGAGACCTGCCCTCATTATTAAAGAGGAAGATTAGCAAGAATTAGAGAAAATCTTTTGACATAATTAGAAGGCTTGTAAGAGAAAGAGATGACTTTCTCACTCTGTGACTTATGTGTCTAATGCTGAGTCAGTAAACCACCTACCATCATCTTGTGTCAGTGGAAATGCCAGTGTGGCATTTCCAGCATCATTTTCACTGAAGACGCGCTTGCA